CCCCGGAGAGGGTGGGTGCCCGAGCCCTGCCCCGATGGGCCAGGCCGGAGCTCACCAGGAGGGCTCGCCTCACCAGGACGGTGCCCAAGCTGACCCCTACGAAGGCAGGTACCCGAGCTCGCTCCCGCAGGGCGGCCCCTGACCCACACCCCGCGCGGTGTCGAGCCCCCGCCAGCCGGGTGCCCCTGACCCGCTGCTCTCAGCCTCTGGCCCGCTCCCCGCCAAGCTCCCCGCACCCCGGGTCCCCTCTTGGTGTCACCGCATCCCCACCCCTGGCCTAGGCTCTGAAGGCCGCCCTTTGGCCCAACCGTACAGCCGGGTGTCCATCTGGCAAAACTGGAGGCCTCCGTGGAACCGCGGAATCTGGCGCCAGCCGATGGGGGTGGGGGGAGCAGACAGGGCCCTGCTGCCGGAGGTGAGGCGGAGCTGCCCTGCCTGGGGGCCTGCGAGGCTGAGCCGTCGCCCACCCCCACCCCCAGGCCACTCCAGAAGCCCCTGTGGTTGTGGCTGGAGGAGCTGGGCAAAGTAGGCCGCACTCTGACGGCCGCTGCGCACTGGCGGCGGGAGGGTGCACCGTGGGCCTGAAGATCCCCCAGACCCCCAGCGCAGAGACCCAGCCAGCCCCGTAACCACAGGAGCCACCTACCTGAGCCGCAGTCGGCAACCACTCTGGGCCTCTGTTTCCCTCTAAAAATGGGGCACTGAGACCAGCCCATGCTGGAGGGGAGGGTCCCTGTCTCCGGTTCCGTGGTGGCTGTGTGCCCAGAGACCCAGAGTTGTCTGTCGTGGAGGGGGAGAGCCACTTGTGGTCTTCTCCAAGAGCCAGATGGGCCCTAGGTCGCACGGCGAGGGGCTGGAGATGCCCCGTCCGGCATCCCCGTCCTCTCCCACGGGCCCTCTCAGGGCCGCCTGCCTCCTGCCCCATGACTCAGCACCTTTGCCCAGCTCAGCAGGACTTTTGCCCCCTGCCCTCTCCTCCAGCCTCCTGTTCGGATCCCTACGGGGTCTCCCAGCAACGCCTGCCCAGGATGCGGGAAGTCAGGGCCTCCAGGGGCCAGGGCCGGTCCCCCAGCAGGACTGGCACTCTGGACCTGTCCCGGGTCATGCTGCTCGTGTACGTGCTGGCAGCCCTGGAGCTCGCCTGCCTCTTCATGCAGTTCTCAGTCATGCCAGTGAGTACCCCTCCACAGGCAGCCTGGTCACCGGCGTGCCCTCGCCGCCCCTCTCACCTTCCATCTCTGCCCTGGTGACGGCCGGGGGTCGGGCCTCATGCTGCCCAGGCTCCTCGCGCTGGGGACCCCTTGCCATGCTGGAGCTAAGTTAAGGCACCCGGGAACTACGCCTCTGGATGCCCCCCTTCAGCACGTCCTGCGCTCCGGCTGCACCACCAGCTGTCCCCATGACAGCCCCCCTCCCCACGGCTGCCCTAGCACATACCTCCCGCCCCGCCTGGGGGCATTTGCCCTACGGATCCGCCACCCCGACACCTGCTCAGCTCACTTTCTAGTCCCACTCAGGCCTCTGCTCAGGTCTCCTCCGGGGCGGGGCCCTCCCTCCAACACCTGCCAGGTACCCGGGGTCACTTGCCCTCCCGTCCTGGCTGGTCCGTCCGCATGCAGCTTGCCCACACCCCACATTGTACTTCATGGCATTAGATTATTTCTGTCTCTCCAACCAGGATGTGAGGGCAGGACTGCTCCAGCTCATTCTGTGCCGCCTCCCTGGGTCTGGAATTCTGCCCGGCCATAGCTGCCCCTTGGTTTAAGTGGCCATTGTGGCTGCTGGGCCCGGACACCCACCCTCCTCCTCCGTGCACTCTTGTTTACTCATTCAACACCGCCCTGTGGGGTCTCACCCTCCTGGGGGCAAGAGCACCCAGGGGACTTTGGAAGACCCAGAGCCCCAGAGATCCTTATCTGTCTGCTCCGGGTGGGACCATGGCACTAGCCGCTGGCCACTCACCAGGAGATTCTGATGAGCAGCCTGGGCCCGGGGATCTGGGTGGGAGGGGGTATTGCCTTTGTCACAATTCCGGCCTTGGCAGGGCTCCCTGGCCAGACAGTGAGCCCAACACCCCCACTTCCCAAGCCCAGCTCACTTCCACCGAATGGCTTGGTCTGAGCCCTTTCTCCTCTCCTTGGTAGCCAGGTACCTTGCTGTCCTCATCACAACATGGGTGACAACCATCCCTCCCTTGGAGAGTTGGTGCTGGGGCAATGAGAGAACAGTTGAAATCCTTAGCACGCGGGGCACAGAGCAGCTGCTGGTGCCACCTCTCCTCCCACTGGCTCTCCCAAGAGAGGCACGTGTTTGTTCAACCAATGCTCGCAGGTACTCTGAGCACCTGGTCTCAGAACTCTGAATACCGCAAAGTGCACCCCTGCCGCTGGTGGTCCTGGGCGTTGGTGACACCCACCGGCAGTAAACAGTGCATAGTTAGACTGTGCTGCAGGAAGGGCGCTGGGGGTGCCGAGGAATGTGGCAGGTTCGGGGTCAGCAGGGCCTCCCTGAGAAGGCGACCCCGAGCAAAGCCTTAAAAGAGACACGGGAGTGACCTAGCCAGTGCAAAGGCCGTGGGGCAGTAGTGAGACAAGTGCTGGAGAGGGGAGAAGGAGCTGAGCCCAGGAGTTGCTGATGGATGGGATACAGGCGTGCGAGAAACGGAGGGCTCAGGGATGACACTGCGGATTTGGACCTGAGCCCTTGGAAGGGTGGAAGCATCAACGGTGGAGCAGAGGAGCTGGTCTTGGAGGGAGACCGGGAGTCAGTTCTGGACGTGCTGAGCTCCAGGTGCTTTTAGACACCACGTGCAGAGCCAGAGTAGAATGGGATTTGCCCTCGCCCATCTGAGGTGAACCCCAAAGAGGGGAAGGAGGGGCCCGCAACTGCCTGCACTGAGTACCGAGCCCCTGGAGCCTGGACCCAAAGCCCCTGTCGGGCTCCCCGCTACAAGATAAGCAGCCGGTTACCCCAGGGCCGCTGAGTGCCAGGGCCACGGGTCCCCCCATGTGCACTGCGGAGTGCCAGACCCTCAACCCCCTCCCACCCTGCTCAGGGCTACCCCTCCTACGCCCTGCCCATGGAGGACCCCAGATTGCAGATGCTGGGGTCCTTCCAGGCCCTTCCCATGGACCCCGCCTATGTTTCAGTACCTGTCCCGGAGGCTGGGCCTGGACTCTGTTGCCTTCGGCTACCAGCAGACCATCTTTGGCGTGCTTCAGCTGTTGGGCGGGCCCGTGTTTGGCAGGTAACATGGGGCAGGGAAGTTTGGGGGCCCTCACCCCATGATGATCCAGGCCCGCCATTTGGAGGTCATGGCCTGGGTTATGCCAGGTTCCCAAACCTCACACTGGGCCCCACTAGAGAGATGGCAGCCGCTGCTTCATGGACGGCCAGCCCGCAGCACAGAGCGGCTTTAGTCCCTTTAAGACTGGGTTAAGCCCCTGCTCCCAGGGTATCTCCACCCCTAACTTCCACGAATTCTGGTTTGTGGCCAGACCCAGAGAGAGGATTTAATTGGTGAGACCCTCATGGCTATAAATGCCCCGCCCCACTGAGCCGGGGGGTCCCACCAGCAACTTTTCTGGAAAAGAATATTCTGGGGACTGGAACCCCCCAGACTCCCGCTAGCCTCAGCGGGGGCGCTGGGCTCAGGGACGTGACAGCAGACATCCTCTTGCAAAGCCTGCCATGGACAGATCAACGTGGCAGGAGTCAGATTTCTAGAGTTACTCCACAGAAAAGAAGGGTCTCCAGACCCGGTAGCATCGGACAGAGCAGAGCCCCGGGGTGGGGGGAGGGGCGGTTGCCCAGGCTTCAGCCTGGGAAGCGCTTTCTGTAAAATAAGGACATCCCCTTGGTACATTTGCATCCCACGAGTTATTCACACAGGCGTGGGAATGACCGTGTGGGTCACAGCCCCCCGAGGTCACTGAAAACTGTCCCACTGGAAGGATGGAGAAACAGGCCCTGAGACGAGGCAGCCCAGCAGCCCAGCAGGGCCCTGGGCGCCCCCGCCCACCCTTGCAGCACCGGGCCTCCCTGATCAGCCCCGTGGGGGCACTGCGGCCCGGTTCCCCGGCCGTCCCAAGGGGTTGTTGTGGGGCCGAGGAGCGGGAAGCCTGCCTCACACCTGTGAGGGTCACAGGTGTGGGGCCCCCAGGTTCGCAGACCAGCGCGGGGCGCGGGCAGCGTTCACACTCTCCTTCCTGGCGTCCTCAGCGCTCTACCTGCTCCTGGCTGTCGCCTGCAGCCCGGCCCTGCCCGGCGTGCCCTTACTCTTTGCCTCGCGCCTGCCCGGCGCCCTCATGCACACGCTGCCAGGTAGGGCCAGGTAGGGCGCCTTCCGGCCTGCTGGAGGACTATGGGTGGGGGGCGGGAACGGGTCGGAATAGCCAGGGCCAAGGGTGGGACCGGAGGGAGGCGGGGGAGCTTGGTGTGGGCGTGGCCTGAGCCAGGGGTTGGGGCGGAGACCACTCCCAGGGTGGCGGTCTAGCCTGGAGAACAGGACCGAGATGGAGGGGTGATGCGGGGGCGTAGCCCGCGGAAGGGGTCAGGTCCGAGGTGAGGAATAATGGGGTGTGGCCTGTGCCGCGACCAGGGTGGGGAGCACGCGGCCTGGGGGCACGTCGGGGTCCCGCGGGTGATGTGGGGGGTGGCTGGGGGTGGGGGCAGGTCAGAGGAGTGGAGTGGTGTGAGGGCGTGGCCTGTGGCTCGGGTCTGGGGTGCGGGGATGGCGAGGTGTGGCCTGGGTCCGTAGGCCACAAGACGGTCGGCGAGGGGGCCGCGCTTGTCAGCACCCCCGTCCCACCCCGTAGCCGCCCAGATGGCCATCACGGACCTGTCTGCGCCTGAGGAGCGGCCCGCGGCCCTGGGCCGGTTGGGTCTGTGCTTCGGCGTTGGCGTCATCTTCGGCTCCCTGCTCGGCGGGACCCTGAGCAGCACGTGCGGGTGAGTGTCCGGGGCGGGGACCCGGTCGTGGGGGGGGGGGGGGGGGGGCCGACGAGGCGGGGTGTGGGTACGGGTCAGGACGGCCAAGGCTGGGTCGGTTCTGCGCCGCGCTCCGGCCCTCAGCCCAGCCCCGCCACTTCTCCGGGCCTTGGTTTCCCCATGTGCACGCTGAGCGGGTGGGGTCCATGGGAGGGTGACCTGCAGGAACCTACAGCTGGGGGTGGCCATCCGGGGCGTGGCCTTGCTAGGAGTGGTGGGCAGGGCCCGCGGGGACGCGGCCCTCAGGGGGCAGTGCAGCCAGCAAATGAGGGAGTGGCCAGCAGGGGGCAGTGCGGTCGGCAGACGTGAGCGTGGCCAGCAGGCGGCAGCGCGGCCGGCAGACGGGCGTGGCCAGCAGTGGCGTTACGGCCGGAAGACGTGGGCGGGGCAGGAAGACGTGGGCGGGGCGGCCGGTTGGGGGCGCCATCGCCGCATGCTGCATCCGCACCAGGTCCGTGCGCTCGGGCTGCTCCTTCCTGGGAGGTCCCACCCTGAACCTAAAGGAACCAGACGGCAGGCCTTGGGGGCGGGGTGATGGTGCCATCACCTCCCTGCGATGGGGTTGCTGTGGGCAGCCAGACCCCTTGCCTCCAGAAGGAGCGAGGGTGGCTTGCGGGGATAAAAAGCTAGCGTGTGTGAACTAAAGGTCTCTATTGCCCTCACCACCACCCCCCGAGTTTTGCGCACACAGGGGTCCGGGGGCTAAACTCAACTCCTGCCCAGCGTCCTGAGAGCCTGTGGGCGGCAGCTCTCACATGTGGTCTGCAGAGTGGACCCCATTCCAGGGACAGACCCTGCAGTGGGGTTGCACAGAGCCGTCTGTTCCAGTGGCCCTAGGCGTGCATACCCTTGGACTTAGGACACCTGGCCCTGGAGAGGCCTTGCCTGGCCAGGGAGGAAGCTTCTGCTGCTTCCCCCTATGCTGCCCCACCCCCGTTCCTCCCCCAGGTGCTCCGACACCCACTCAAAACCAGCTTCCTACATAGGAATGGACTTTGCACCTTACCTTCATTCAGGCCCAAGACCTTGGTTTTGCTCTGGGGAGGCAGGTGCCCGGCCCAGCTGTGGGTGGAGGCCCTGTGCCAGCTGGTGCCCCGCCCACCCTGCCTGGGCCTGGATGAGCTGCCCTGGGCCTCCATTCAGGCGAGGGGCCTTCCTGCTGTCTGAACCACACGTGCATGCACTCAGCATGAGGCCAGCACCTGGCCCTGCATCTTGGATGACCCTATGCCGGGGCCCCTGGGGGCCTTAGTTTCCCCAGGTTCCCTGAGTGCCCCCAGACCAGCCCCAGACTTGAGAGCCGATGATGGCTGAGCCCCAGGGATTGGGGGACAGGAGGGCACAGTGGCCTTGTCAAGGCAGCTCCCTCTCTCGAGGGAGGTCTGTTCAAGGCCTCCGCCCCCACCCCCTCCCCATCATTTCCTCAGAGCTGGGTTGGGGATGGCCGGCTCTGCTAAGTGCTGTGAGCAGGAGGGTGGGGTGCAGAGGGCAGGACTGCTTCATTCATTTCCCCCTCGATGTTTATTGAACACCTATTAAGTGCCCCTGGGATTCCAGGTTCTGGGATACAGTGGTGAACAGGACAGGCGAGTCCTCAGATGAAATGAACGTGATGTGTATTCCTATAACGTCAGGCTGGAGGACATCTGGGGAGGCAAGAGATAGCAAGTGCAAAGGCCCTGAGGTTGGGGAAGCGAGAAGACCCGTGTGGCTGGAGTGGAGGAGAAGGGGTGCGCAGTGGGTCAGGCCATGGAGCCCTGGGAGGCATGAGCAGGGGCAGGGGATGAGCTGGCTGCTGTGTCGAGAATGTGGAGGCTAGGGCCACCTCAGGGAGACCAGAGAGGTGGCTACTGAATCAGTCCAGGTGGGAGAGGACGGCAGGGGGACAAGGGATGGGGTGGGGAGAGGGCAGGGGCAGGTTCTGGCTTGGTTTTGCTGATGGCTGGGGTGTAAGTGTAAACTCAAGGCCGTGCCCAGACTCCGGGGCTGGCCCTGGGGGAGTCGAGGGCCTCGCTGAGATCTGAGCTGCCAGGGTGCCGGCAGGAGTTGGGTCTCCGTCAGGATGAGTGTGTGCTCAGCACACACTTGAAGGAACCCCAGAGTGGGTGGCTGGGCGGGGGAGTCTGAGCTGGAGGACAGTGGGGCTGTGTCCTCGAGTGGGTGGCTTCTTAGCCCTGGGAACTGCTTAAGATGGAGGCTGGTGCCCAGCACTTCATGTTAGAAGCCGGGGATCGGGAAAAGGTACCAGGAGGACCAGAAGGGAGGGCGATCCAGGGAGATATCCAGGCGTGTGGGTCAAGGATGGGACCCTGCGCCCGTGACGGATTCCGCCTGAACCAGGGCTGTCTCTCTCCATGTGCGATGAGGGCGGAGCCTGCTTTGGTAGATGGACCAGGGTCAGGAGAAAGAGGACCTCTGTCCTCAGGGAGGAAAGAAAGAGGGTCAGCGGCTGCAGAGTAAGGAGGGGCACCAGGGGCGTGAGGAGGGTGCTGGGAAGGGAGCGACGACGCAGAGAGGAGCCCCGCTAGCTGCCCCGCACAACAGGGCTTTCAGCGCCCAGACTCGGAGTTCACCTCCCAGCCCAGCCACCTGCTACTGTGGGCCATGGGCAACCTTCCTCACCTTGCCAGCGCCCCTCCCGCCCCCCCCCCCACCACACACAGAGGCCTCCTCTGGCCAGCCCCACCGCACGTTCCCTCCTGCCCTCTGCTCCAGCCCAGCTGCTGACCCAGAAGGCACTCTCACTTCCCTCTCCCTCCCAGTAGCCTCCAGATTCACCCCCACCCCTGCCCTCACCTTCCTGAGCATCCCACTAGCTTCCCTTCTTTCATCCCAAGATCTAAGGCGCTGTGTACACTTCCTTAGACAGGTGGGGAGACCGAGGCCCCGGAGAGGGTAAGACTCCCCCATGGAGCTCCCAGTCTCCATCCGAGGCCCGGGGAAGGGGGGCTCCGGGACCCCGATGCCCCATCTCCCTTGTCCAGCCTCTCTGCTGGCCCACGGCCTGCTCTACCTCTTGGCAAGGCCCAGGCAAGATGTAAAGGCCACACTCCCGCCCCCCCGTTCTTCAATCAAAACTGAGGCACGGTGTGAGGTCTCCCTGCCCACCTCCACCCCGGCCCCCTAAAGGCCCCTGAAGTCCCCAGCCGTGCCCCACCCCCTGCTGGGAAGCAGGTGGAAGGAGGAAGCGGCCTCGGCTGCCGTGGGCTGGGTAGTGGTATAACTGGTTTGGGCCCAGTCTGGAGCTCAGGGCTGGGAGGCCTAGCTCCCATGGAGGACCCAGACCTGGGTCCTGAGTCATTTAGCAGGTGAGGGGGCAGCTCTGTGACTCATGTCCCCCAGCCTGGCGCCTCACAGCCTGGGGAGGCCTCTATCATCCCCTCCCCCAAGTGGGCCGTTTGCCTCTGGGGTGGGCGGCACCAACCTGCTAAGCCCACCAGAGTTGGGTCCCGGGTCGAGGGTGCTCAGGGATTTGAGAAGTGGGGGCCACCTGTCAGACACCGCTGATGGTGAAGGCAGGCAGAGCCCAGGCCTGATGGCTGGACTTAGTGTGTGTGTGGGGGGTCTTTGCAGGACCTCCTGCTCCTCTGAGCGCTGAGGTGCCGCACACAGGCCACAGGTACAGCTGGGCCCGCAGTCCAGCCCCCAAAGGCTGTGTGCCCCGGAGGTGGCCCACCAGGGTAGCCGCTCCTTTAGGTCCAGCCACAGACCCTTGAGGTCAGGCAAACCGGGGCCTCAGTGTCACCGGCTGGCCCTCCTGGGCACTAACTGGCCGGCGTGTGGCCCCGCTCTGACTGCAGCCGTGCGCCGCACCCAGCAGGCCCTGGTGACTCGGCTGGTGTGACCCCGCTGCTTGTCTGGAGGCCTGGGGGGAGCCAGTCGACCCGAGAACCGTATCTCGGCCCTTGGTCCGGGCGAGGGAATGGGAAACCCTTATCCTGCTGACGGAAGGTTTCCGCCTCAGTGACACGGCAGTGTCCCTGGAGTTAATGAGTAGACATCTAGGGCTGCCCTAGCGGCTCTGGGACGGGGTGACTCACGGGTCACCCAGGCGGCCTACCCCACTTGGTGCTGGAGGTGGCTCACCGAGGGTGCGCGGGGCCTCCTGGGTGACCCTCCACCCGAGGGTGTGGAGGTGTCCCCCCATCCCGGGGCTCGTGCCGCCCCTGCAGACAGAACCCGGGTGTTTCAGGCACTAGGAGGTCCATGGACAGGGCACAAATGGCTGAGAGCAGTGGGGCTGGGAACCTCAGCCTAGACCTGTCAGCTGGACAGTGTTCCGGGCAGAGGGGAAGCCCGTGCAAAGGCCCCGGGGCAGGAAGGAGATTGGGGCTTGCCTGGAGGCCTGTGTGGGCAGATGCTCAGGGGACACAGAGGGCTGCAGAGGGTTAGGCCGGACACAGCGTTAGGGGCTTTCTCTGGGACTCGGAAACCAGAGGGGGGCTGACGTCCCACAAGATGGGGTGGACCCACAAGACGTCCATTTTCAGACACCGTTCTAGCCACAGGGCCAGGGACTGTGGATCAGGGGAGGCAGGGGGACTTCTCCCCCGCAAGCTCAGGCTGGATGCCCGGTGCCTCTCAGGATCCCCGCACGGCCAGGCTTCCCATGAAGCCAGCTGACCCCAGCCTGCCCTTCAGTTTGGACAGGACAGGGGTACGCAGCCCGGGAGGCCCTGAGCCCCACGTGCGGCCAGGCCTGGGGACCTTGGCCGAGTGCCATCCCCTCTGGGAGCCCCAGAGCACGCGGGGAGGGAGGGCAGCTCCAGCTGCAGGAGGAGTTGTCCCCTCCAAGCCGGGCAGGAGAGGGACAGCGTCAGGCTCAGAGTCCGCACCGGGTGGGCAGATGGCCAGGCCCGCCACCCTCCTGATAACGTCACGTCGGCAACTTCCGGGCCCTCGAGATAAGGATGAAAGTGGCGTCTGTGTCCGCTGCCATTTGACCAGCACCGGTGGCAGCCGTGGTCAGTTCCAGAGGCCTCCCATCGGCGGGACTCGGGGTGGGCTGCCTCCAGGCTGTCCCAGCCTTGGCATGGGACAGGGGGTCCCGGGAGGGTGACCCCTGTGAGTCTAGCCCTCATTTGCATCTGAGGAAAGGAGGTCACCCAGCAGGGTAGCTACAGAGAAGGGACAGAGAATTCGGGTGCCCTGAGTCTGGCCCGGGGCCCTTTCAGGGTGTCCATGGGTCCATCCGTCCAGTCTCCCATCCACACATTCAACCAAAAATAAAAGGGGGTGGGTAGACAAAGACACGCTAACAGTGCCTGCCTCATGGTCAGTGCCCAGTTTGTAAAAACAGTCCAGTGAGCCAGTGGACAGGTGGCCCAGAGCCCCATCCTGCGCGATTGGCGTCCCAGAGGTCCCCAGGGCCAGAGGCAGACTCTGGGGGTGGGCTGACTGGAGGCCCCCGGGGAGGGGCTCCCGAGCTGTGTCTCGGACGACAGAGCAGCAGTGGGTAGGGGCACGAGGCTGGAGGGCGTCCCCACCGAGAAGGCCCCCGTGTGGGACCCGGGGCTGCCACGCTTTCCTGCCGTCTGTCCACTTTCCTTTCTGCCATTTTGTCTGGGGGAGTCGGAGAGCACTGTGGGTGGGGAAGGACACCCAAGCCTCCCCTGGGGCAGCTGTGGGCCCCGACGCCCTCCCGGGGCCCCCGAGGGCCCCCGTGTCCCCTTCGGTTCACTGACCGCCACACAGGGACAGGAGAGATCTCTGGAGAAGGGGCCTGGCTCCCTGCCACCGCCCCTCACTTGTCACCAGCCTCCCAAAATAGCCATCTAAGCGGCCGCCTCTGCTCTCACGCACTTCCGGGGCATCTGGCAAAGAAAGCTGGTTTTGTCCCTGCCCAGGCCGGCCCGGAGCAGTGACGTGCGGGCCTGTGAGGCCACAGTCCTGAAGAAAGGGCCCCTCTCTCTGACGGTGGCCTGTGGGGCCCGTGCCCGGCCTCATGCCTCCCCCGGGTCCGAGCAGAGGCTTCACTCTGGGGTCCAGTGCCCTCTGACCCTTCCCACCTGGCAGCCAATGGACGCGCCCACTTGTCCGGAACCCCTGCCGCCAGAAAGCCCAAATGTCCAGCATCCTGGGCAGTGGGTATCGGCTTGGGGGCCAGAGATGGGCCCGTCTGGGAGGGGAGAGATCTGTGGCACGTGCAGACTGGACAGTGCCGGCTGCAGCACTGACCAGCTGTGTGAGCCCGGAAACAAGGGGCTGCCGAGGCCCATTCTCTGGTGCTGGAGTCCCCACTGGCTTCCCTGCCTGGGGTTCCCGCAGGAGCCATGCACGTGTATGTGTGCAGGTGCGTGCGCGTGTGTGCACCTGTGGTGGAGTGGGGGCGGGGGAGTCCTCTCTTTGAACTTGGAGGAAGGTCACAGGCAGCTTGTGGCTGCCTCACGTGAAAGTGCGGAGGGAGTCTCCCACGACACTGACAAGGTCTGGGGCAGGACTTTTTTCGTCCATTTAGTCCACGCTCTGATGCCCACTGGGGTCTCGGCACAGGGTCCCACCCAGGCTCACCTGCCCTCGGGGGCGGATACTAGCCCTGGAGCAGAGCAAGCCCTTCTCAGAGGACAGGGCGCCCACTGGGGAAGAGGGGCAGGGCCTCACAGAGAGGGCCTTTGCAGGATGTATAGGAGTTTTCCGTGCTTCAGAGGGGCAGGGCGTTCGGCTGTGCACAGGTCCGGCAGTCGAAGCAGCCCGGCTCAGTATGAATCTTCTGTTTCACTCTTTGTCTTCCTCCAGCCCTCAGGGGGAAACGGTGACAATCAGAGGGGCCGGGCCCCAGTGCCTTTGTCCCCAGGTGACACGGGCTGCCTGGAGCTGGAGGCCGAGGTCTGCCTGTGCAGTCCAGAGAGGTCGAGGGCTGAGTTTCCATGTAGTGACTCATGGAGGGGAAATGCTCCCTCAGAAGTGACAGCTGAGTGCCTGAGTCACGACCCTTGGTGCCGCTGTGGGCAGGCGGGAAGGCACCCTGAGGGCTGTGTCCTAGGTTTATCGGGGGGCCAAACGCCCCCTACCCCATGGGCCCAGCCTGCCCCGCCCCCTCCAGGAAGTGGTGGTGGGGTGCTCCTGAGGCCCCCTAAGTGCAGGCCTGTCCTCCCCCAGGAGGGGAAAGAGGCGTGACAATCCTCAGGACGCAGATGGGGCTGCAGGGGTTCCCACAGTCTTCCACGTGGGTGCGTGGAGCTGAGATTCTAACCCAAGCCCCTGCCCACCAGGCACGTCAGCCCCCGTCTCTCCGGCCCCTCTTGGCGCCCTGGCCCCAGTGCCACCTGGCATTTTGCTCACCGTGGGCCAGCACCCTACCTCACCTGAGTCACTGAGGGCAATGGTCACTTTCTCAGCTGCCCTCCTCCACCCCAGGCAGCCCCTCCAGTCCCACCAGAGGCCAGAGGACTGAGGGTTCTGGGGACGGGGCCCTTTCCCCTGGGAGCCTCAGTCTCCTGCTCCACAGGGTGGGGAGGACCCTTGGCGCTGCCAGGGTTGTCTGGGGAGCATCCTCCCTGCTGGTTCCAATTCCGCGGAACACAGCCCCCAGGCCTCTAACACCCCATCCAAGCCGGGAGCAGTGGGTGCACACCGCACAGCAGCCCGGTCCTTCGGGGGCCTTTCTCACCCCTCAGCAGCCTGGGAGCCAGACGTCCCCTGGAGAATCGCCACCCACCCCAGGCCCCTGCCCAGCCCTTCTGGGGCTCGTGTTCTGGCTCCCACTGCCACCCATGCTCAGAGGCCGCCAGGACGCATATGCTGTGTCCACAGCCCGAGGGTCGGGAAGGCAAGAGCTTCCTCTGTTTCTTCATCCATCACCTCATTGATGTGCCCTGAGGGTCCCGTGGCCTGGCCTCCAGTTCGAAGCCTGCGAGGACATGAGTGGGGGGGTTTGAGCTGTTCTCAGCTGTCAGAGCCTGAGTGTGACTGAAGGGGCAGGTGGGGGAGATGCCGCAGGTGACACCTGTGCCCTGGGGCCTGAGCCCTGTGTGACCACAACTGTCGCTCACAGGATTCAGTGTCCGGTCATCGTGGCTCTTGTGGTCAGCCTCCTGGGAGCCGTCCTCAGCTTCACCTGCATCCCCACCAGCACCAAAGGGGCCAGCGCCCGTGCCCAGGCTGCCCTGCCAGGTAAGCTGCAGCAGACACACCCCACAGATGCACACAAGCAGGCCCACCAGGTACATCCCGCTGGGTCTGCCCTACCGGACACACCTCACCGCTTACACCCCACCAGGTATGCCGCTTCCGGATGCTTGGCCAGTGTGAAGTGTGAGCCCTCCCCTGCCACCAGCCGGCACCCTGGACCTCAGGCTAGGCCTCCCCCAGCCCAGCCCACCCTTCAGGGAGGCTTTGCCGAGACCATGATGTGCCAAAGCATCCCCGGTGGCTTCTCACCTGCGGGGGCAGAGGGCTGAGCTCCAGGCAATGCGCCTGGGGCACTCGGGGCCACTCAAGCCCTCTTTTCTTCTCACCTGCGGGGACAGAGGGCTGAGCTCCAGGCAATGGGCCTGGGGCACTCGGGGCCACTCAAGCCCTCGTTTCTTCCTTGGGCCCCTCCAGGACGCTGGGCATCTCCCAGCTTCGGACACCGCTGGAGCTGAGCCTGGAAAGGACCAGGAGGGGCCTGGGATGGGGCGGGCATGGCGAACCAGGACCCTGAGGCCCAGAGCAGTCGGTCACTGTGCTGTATGGGGGGACGTGAGGGTGCCGGCTTCAGGAGCTCGGCTCCCGGGGCGGGGTGCCGAGGCGGGGGGCAGAGCACAGTCAGGTTAGAGCTTGTGGGCTCAACGCGCCTCCCAGGCCCCACGAGGAGAGGTCAGGGCTCGAGAGGGGGGACCCCTCCAGGGCGTCCCAGCCCAGCCACCTTGGCCTGGCACAGAGTGGGACCCCATGCCTCCTGGCCAGGTGACCGAGAGCTCTGGAGAGACCCACCTGGGACAGGAGGCCCCTGAGCCCTGGCTGTGATGGGACAGCCCAGAAAGAGTCAAGAGGGAGGGCCTGGGCGGGGGCCTGGCCTGCAAAGAGACAGAGGAAAAGGGCCGAGGCGTAGGAGCACCTGGGAGAGGCAAGCAGGGGGGCACCGCCGCACCCAGCTGGGAGGCTATGACGAGGCACCCAAGTGTCCTCCGGATCAGGGTAAGGTGGCCGCTCGCAGCCACCACGAGTGGCCGCTCCTGGCCGACGGCTGCCTCACCAGCCTTGCCATGCCGTCGCCCAGAGCCAGGGCCAGGCAGGCAGCAGCTGCCCCGGTCACGCGGGTTTGGGGAGTGAGAGCCTCCGTCACTTGGAGCCCGGGTCCAGGCCAGGCTGCCCCCTGAATTCAGAGGTCCCCAGGGCCAGCAGGGCCCAAGGCCCACTCCTGAGTGTGATGAGCTGCCCGGGGCTCACCGGGGGAGGCTGGTGGGAGGCACGCTGAGCACGAGCTCACATCCCCGGTGGGTGTGGGGCGCCGGGCAGCCGGAGTGCTTCCTCCGCACCCAGTGGGCCCTGGGGCGCGGGCTGTCCGGTGCTACCGTGGCCTCTCCGGGTGCCTCAGGGAAACCCAAGGCCAGCGTGTTTGACCTGAAGGCCATCACCTGCCTGCTGCTGCAGCCCGGCGTCCTGCCGGTGTTTCTGGTCAAGGTCATCTGCGGCTTCCCCTCAGGTGAGTCCCGGCCGCCCGGCCAGCGTCCAGAGCCCGGTGCGGCTGAGAATTCGGGGCCGCGGAGACGGAGGTCTGCAGCCCGCGCGTCACCCCTTCGCTCTGCCCTGTGTCCCACGCTCCGAGACTCCACTGGGCCCTGTCCAGTCACATCTGTCCCAGAGAGGGTGGCAGCCCGCTGGCTCACGCAGATGTGGCTGCACAGACCAGGAGGAGGAAGAAGTGAGGGTCTCCGTCCTGCCCCCCAGGGCCCTGCTCGGGCCCCAGTTGCCCCTGCTCTACAGAAGGTCTCACTGCCCCGGCCTGTGGCTTCCAGGGCCTCTCAGGACAGTCCGGGAGGTGGGAAAGACGGTACGTCTGCAGGTGGACGTGCACATTCTCGGTGGAACTGAGGGCATCCCTGACCACAGTCGTGCCCAGTAGCGACCGCTCTGAGCCCCCATCTGGGGTCCTCCAACCAGGGGAGCAGTGCAGAGGACAAGTCAGCGAGGCAGGGTTGACAGGCGCTCAGGTGCCCCCACACTGGCGCTAAAGGGTTAGTCCCTCAGCCCAGGAAGCTCTCTGTCCAGGCAAACTGGGCAACCCCCCGCCCAGCTCCATCTGTGACTCAGGATGGCCCAGTGGGGCACAGTGACGGGAACCCAGGTCACCGACGTCAGTTCTGGGGCCAAATCCTCCTACATTATCAGCCCAGGGTCCCCCATCTCCCAGCCTCCGCCCCCAGACGGCCTTGGGCCCTGTGCATGGGGCAGCTTCCGGCACCTTCCTGTTCACGGTCCACAGCAGTCGCGTGGGGTGGACCTGCCAGGGACAACCTCGGAGAAGGTTCACGTTGGTCTTCCCTGAGCCGGTCACCGCGGCCAAGCCCCTGGCACCGTGATGGTCACCTGACGGGGGGAGCAGGTGTGGGCACAACTGCGCAGCCCCGACCCCTCACCCCTGACCCCCCACCTCGCCCAGGGCTCTTCATGGTCATGTTCTCCCTCATCTCCATGGACTTCTTTCAGCTGGAGGCCGCCCAGGCCGGCTACCTCATGTCCTTCTTCGGGGTCCTCCAGATGGTGAGTGGATGCTGGGCGCACAGGGTGGGCGGGGGTTCGGCACTCCACGCTCTGTGGGCTCCCTGCCCTCCCAGGGTCCTCTGGGCAGTCGGTCTGTGTTGGGGTCCCAGGACCTCACAGACCACCGGCACCCGGTTTCTCCGCAGCGCAGGTGCCGTCCTGCATGCCCGCCTTTCGGGTGTTGCATCCACACCTTAGCTTCTGGCTTGTTCTCCTCTCCCTGCTCGCGGCTCCCACGCCTGGCTCTGTCTGCCCGCCCATCTGCCCGGAGGTCCCGTCTGAGAGGGGAGAGGGGAGACTCATCCGCAGTGGAGGCTGACGAGCCCTTGGCCTCCCATTGGGAAACACAGCGGAGGCCCATGGTCCGCCGCGTGTCCATCTGGGCGCCGGCGGTGGACAGGTCGGGAAGGGGGCAGACCCCAGTGGTGGGGCGCGTTACAAGGAGAATGGCTGGGCTCTGCGTCCCGCCCGCCTGCCCGCCGGTCGCGTGAGCATGGCGGGGACAGGTGGCGACATGCAGCCGCCACCCGGGACATCTGCCTGACAGCCGGAGCGCAGGAGGGGCTATTCCGGGACCTGCCTGGGCGGGGGAGAGAGCTCATGCTCTCCGGAAGCGAGTGGCATTCCCAGCACCTCCAGGCCATCTGCTGCCCGTGCCTCTGGGCCCAGGACTGGTCTAGACTCTGGTTCTAAAATAGCCACTCCTGGGAGGGGCTGGCCCCCCACCCCACCGTGGGCCAAGAGGGCCTAGCTGGGTAGGCTGGGAAGTGGCAGCCTGGTGGAGGAAAAGAGAGAAACAGAAAGCAACGGCAACGATAACAGTGCTCTAAATCGGGGGCCACTGGCGCTTCCTTCTAAACGGCTGCTCCTGCCTGCCTGGGACCAGAGCACCAGCCTGAGCTTGTCCTGGGCTCCCCGGGACCAGGAGGCCAAGCCTATACCCTGGCTGAAGCCGGCAGACCCCTCGAGGCCCTCAGGGACAGACCCTGGTAGCCTCTGGCCTGGTCAGGCATGAGGGTGGGCCTGCCCGAGACGGACCTGGGCTCCAGCACCTGTGAGGATGCTGGTGGACGGGGTTGGAGAGCAGCGGTGGGATTCGGGAAAGTGCCTGGGGGTGGGGGGCTGGGGACCCCAACACAGGCCGACCGGGTAGAGGAGCCTGGGGAGGGCAGGGAGCCCACGGAGCGGTGTGGGGTGCCAGGCCCCAGGCCCTAAGTCCAGCGGAGGGAAGGTGGAGGCGGCTGAGGGCCTGAGATGCGTCCGCAGGGGAGGCCCAAGCCGCCTTCGTCGGGTGCCTCCCTCCCCGCCCCGCCAGGGTAGAGCTGGGCACCGAGGGTCCGGGGAGGCAGCCCCGCCGCGGGGTGAACCATGCCTCCCACCTGGTCCCCCACAGCTGCTCTTGCACCTGCTGCTTCCGTTGCAGACCATTTCCCGCCCCACCTGAGGTGTGGTTGCCGCCGGATCCCAAGGGCGATCTCCCCCACCAGCACCCCCTTCCAGACCCCTGGGTACAGGGATCGTTGGGGTTGGGGTCTCAGGGGGTGGCAGCCCGGATGGTCCTACACGAGGGGATGGTGGTCACCCTTCGCCCGGGGGGCTGGCAGCCCTCTGTCCCTCTAGGAGCCTCCTGCGAGGGCCCCCCCTCGGCCTTCATCTGGGCCCCAGGCACAGCGCCGCTGCAGTGATAGGGAGCTTCCGTCGTATGGGGTGGGGGAGACGGAGGCAAGCCCCCAACCACTGGCGCATCTGGTGTGTCAGGGGCGACAAAACCTCAAAGGAGAATCAGGGCCCTTGGAGGGGCAGACATGCTGCTTCAGATGGGGTAAGGGTTGGGGTTAGGGTTAGGGCTGGTAGGCTCTCCACTGGCCCACGGAGAGGCTTGGAGGGAGAGAACTTCAGACGGGGAGGGGCTGCAGGTGCAAAGGCCCTGGGGTGGCTGGGCCGGCCTGAGGGGAGAGGACTGCCCTCTGAAGACGTGTGGGGCATGGTCTGCAAGGCCAAGAAGGACCCAGATTTACTCAGATTTACTCGGAGTGGGTGGGACCATTTGGAGGCTGGATGTGGTCTTACTAGCCCCCTGCTGGGGAACTGGGTGCTTGTGGCCGACGTGACCTCCGGGGAGGTGGAGGTGGCTCGGGCCAGGGCAGCGGGCAGCAGGACAGGTGAGCAGACAGGGTCTCCAGATGGGAGGGTTGGGAGAAAGTGAAATTTCTGGTGTGCTTGGTAGCTCTAGTTTCATGTAATAACCCGTAAGGCACGAAAGTTTCGGCTTTGTTTAAGTTAATGGGAAAATGGAAAGACGACCCCAGTCCATTAGGGTCCTGGTCTCTGGCTCTGTATGAAAAGCTGAGGCAGATTGAAATCTCCCTCCTGGTTTGGTGGTTTCCTCTCAGGGTGTAGGGCACTACAAGACACTTGCCAAGTAGATCTTCCCTTTAAACAAACGAAAACGAAGATAAGCAAGTGTGAGAGTAGGATTTTTTTTTTTTAAAGAAGGACATCTTTGGTGCTCCTTTGAGACAGTTTCGTTTTGCCAGACAGGCAGCTCGGAGTGGCCCGTCCTGTTCCGCAGGGGTGGGCCCGCCCCGTCACAGGGCGCAGCCCCGGCCTGACCCCAGCCCCAGGGGGTGTTGCTCCAAACCCACTGCGCCCCGGGCACTTCCTGTCTGCCTGGTGGAGGTGGCAGGGGACCAGGTAGGGAGCCTCCCCCTGGCCTGGGGATGGCCGAGGGCTGGGTTTGCCCTCTGAGTCACATCCGCAGCGTCAAGGGTGTCCCTGCTCTGGGTGGTTCCTCCCACCCCCACGAGGGCAGGAAGGGGAGCCTTAACCTTAACCTGGCTCCTGGCTGGCTGACCCTGGGGCCGGGGGAGGGGGCTGCGGCCAGGAGGACGGAGCTGGGAGTGGAGGGCGGAGCAACAGTGGGGGTTATCTGGGGAGACTGGTTGCCCCCTGCTTACCTGCCCAGGCTCAGGACAGGTCCACCGCCCTGGGCTCCAGCCCAGCCCCACTCCTGGCCAGCTCTGGGACCTCAGGCAAGTGACATCCACCCTCTGGGCCTCAGTTTACCCAGTTGTAACTGGAGCTGTGGCCTCTGGAGATGTGGAGGACACAGGGCTCCTGGCCCAGTCCCTGGCCCCAGTTGACAGTAGCTGGTGTGCCCGCCTGCTGGGGCCAGGCCTCCATAGGGCCAGCTGGGAGGGCGACCCCACATGGGCACCAGGGCTCTGAGCTCGGGTCCCAATCCAGCCCCCCTCTCCTCTGTGCCCTGGTCTCCCCATCTGTGAATGGGGCAGGTCCCACCTCCCAGAGGAGACAGACAAAGAGGGGGCTGAGGACGAGTGATTGGCCAGGATGGGGCACATGGGGGCCAGGTGACACGGTAGGGGGCTTCCCAGGGCCCCAAGGGTCCCCAGGGTTGGAGTCGGGGCCACACTGGGAGCATTTTTCTATCAAAGAAGCTTTTTGCACCGTAAGCCATGGCCTCCCCCACCCCCATCAGGAGTTAACCGGTCCTTTGATTAAAATATGTTTATCACGCCTGAAACTGCAGAGATTAGTTTTGAATGTGGAACTCGGACTTCTGAGTGGCTGGCTATGCACGTGTGTGTGCGCGCAGGTGCATGTACGTGTGCGTGTGCGTGCGTGTATGTGCGTGCACGTGCGTGGGTGTGTGCGTGCATGCAGGTGCACGCGTGTGCGCGCGCGCGTGTGTGAGAGGTGCCCAGGCTGCTGGCCCCGTCTCCCCTGGGACTTTGAGGCCGTCGTGGGTACCACAGGCTCACCCCTGTGCCCTGCGCCTGGCGCCTGCTGTGGCTGGTGGCAGCGGCCCCAGGGGCTGCAGGTGGTGGGGGAGGTCCCGCGGCTGGCCGCAGCCCAGCCCCCTCCGCAGGCCCGGCTGCGCCCACCTCCACCCTCTCGCCCTCATCTAGGTCTTCCAGGGCCTGGTCATCGGGTGGCTGAGTAGCCGCTTCTCCGAGGGAGCCCTGCTCCGGGCCAGCGTGCTGGCGTTCAGCGTGGTGGGACTGGCCATGGTGAGAGCTCCCGCCTCTGGCTGCCCCACAAAGAGCAGGGTCCCAGGCCTGCTCCCCTGACCCTCTGCCGGTGCCCAGTTTGCACTTGAGCCCCTGGGCCCCCTGGCCCCCTCTACCCCAACCCAGGGCCACCTCAGTGGGACCTCAGGGATGGGCAGTTCCACCCTGGTCCCACGAGGCCCTGCAAGGCCCCCGTGACCGTGACCCCTGCTCTGCCCCTCGGCAGGCGCTGATGGCCAATGTCTTCCACTTGTGCCTGCTCATGCCCGGCCTGGTCTTCAGCCTGTGTGCCCTCAATGTGGTCACCGACAGCATGCTGACCAATGCCGTCTCGGCCTCAGACACGGGTGAGGGCAGCATCCCGGGCCCGGTGACGGGCAGGCCCTGGGGAGACCCCGGCCCTCCTCTCTGGGAAGCTTGCTGAGCAGTTTCGGGCAAAGCAGCCGCCCTAATGTGGGACCTGCCTGGACTCAGTGGGCATTGAGTAGGGTGGGCGGCTGGGGGTCTGAGTGGGCAGAATGGGGATGGTGGGCTGCAAGAGGGCTCAGGAGAGAATCCTGCCCACCACCCAGTCCAGCCAGACCCAGCCAACCCTGCACCAGGCCCTGCTGATCAGCCCAGGGCCAGGCCTGGGGGAGGGGAGGAGGGCTTCCTGGAGGTGGCGTCTGGCTTGGCTCTGAAGCATGGGCAGAGAATGGCTAGAAGCCAGAGGGGGTGGCTAGCATGGGGAGCACCTCCTGTTCCCTCCCTGCGCACGGGATGTGCAGGTGCCTCCTGAGTGAACGAGTGAGGGAGTGAGTGCTGCCCCCGGGCCACCCAGTGGGACTCAGGCGCCCCCAGAGGTGGACCTGCAGTCCCCCAACTCTGCACCTGGCCTTCTTTCTTGAGGCCAAGGAGTCTCCCATCCAGACTGGGGGTCCCTGGGCCCGATGCTGCCCAGGCTTCTGCCCCCGTGCTGCCCCGGGCATGGTGCAGGTCAAGGTCAAGGTCAAGGGCTCCTGTGGGCCGGTTGAGGTCAAAGACCTCCCTCCCTGGCAGCAGGGCCAGAAAGTTCAGGGCCCTGGCTGACCCTCCGTCCATCTACCTGCCTGTCTGGGAAGGTCAGACTGAGGTCTAGAGGCCCTGATGAAAATGGGGAGGCTGCTGGGCAAGGCCTCTTCTCAGGACTGCCTTGGGGACCCCAAGGCCGGCCAGACCTGCGGCTCTGTGGTCCTGGGAGGCTAGACTGGTCCTGGAGGGTCCCGGAGGCTGTGGGCTGGCAGGTGTGAGAGGCCAGGAGGAGAGAGGAGGGGAGCAAGGCCTGGAGAGATGAGGGCAGGGCCTGAGCGGGAGGAGGGCGGAGCCTGAGAGGGAGGAAGGCGGGGCAGATCCAGTCCACCAGGGCCCCATGTGCCGGAGGCACCATCCCTCAGCTTGGAAGGAGCCAGGAGCCGGTTCCCAGCACCAGCCTGGGAACCGGAAACCACAGAGGGGGCGGTAATTGCTCCCTGGTGTCTGCAGGGCATGTGGGCGTCGGGAGAGGCTGCTCTGAAGGAGAGAGGGCATGTGGGCGCCGGGAGAGGCTGGCCACGCCCAGCTGACCCAAGGGCAGGGCTTTCCAGCTCCCAGAGCGAGGGCTGTGAAGCCCCTGGAGCCTGGGGCCCTCGGGGCAGACGGCAGTGTTGACAGGAGCCACACGCTTGGTGGCCTTCATAGGGCACAGCTGACAAGAGGGGTGTGGAGGTAGGGGTGTCAGGTAAGAGGGGTGCAGGCAGCCAGGCGAGCCCGGGAAGTGGGTGCAGAGAAGCAGGTGCGGGCCCTTCGAGCGCCCCGAAGCCCCTCCCCCACCCTGGGGGGAGTTCCCTGCAGTCCACGTGAGGGCGGGAGCCAGGTGACAGGGGTGTGTGGTGGCCCAGCCCCCACCGCGGTGCTTCGGGAGGCCCCTGGCTGGGATGCCACCTCTCAGGCAGGCCTGGTGCGGGGGGGCCTGGCCCACAACCTGGGGCCCTGTTCCCAGGCTCCTCCTGTGCTTGGGAACTTTCTGGAGCAGGGCAGAGGCTCAGATCCCCATCCGAGAGGGCCCCGTGCTCCCCCTGCGTGGCTGGGGGGTCTGCAGGGAGGAAGTGGGGGGGGGTGTGGAGGGCGGCGGGGGAGACAGGGAGGCTGTAGCTGTGTCAAGGCCATGGGCGGCTGGGGCAGTGATGCTGAGAGACCCTCCCCTCCCCCGCCGTAGGAACCATGCTGGGCCTCTGCGCCTCTGTGCAGCCACTGACCAGAACCCTGGGGCCCACCCTGGGAGGCCTCCTGTACCACCGCTTCGGAGTCCCCGTTTTCGGCCACGTGCAGCTCGCCGTCAACTTCCTCGTCCTGCTGGTCCTCTGGAGGCAGCCTGTGCCCCCAAAGATGGACAAAGCCTGGTGACCGTGGCCCCCAGGCACAGACTGGCAATAAACTCCCTTAGGACCTCTTCCAGCCTGATTTCTATCAGTTGGGCAGGGGGCCTGGGGACGAGGGCAGGATGGAGCCTTGGATGCTGGAGGGCTTCCTGGAGGAGAGGGCCTGCAGCTGTGCCCCAGGGCTCCAGGGAGAGCAGAATCACCCAAGTTCATCCCAGTGGGAGGTGGGTCCTGCCCCCGGAGTCCGCCACCAAGGCCAGTGAGGAGTAGCCCCTGCTGCCACCCAGACAGCTCTGCCCACGACGTCCCCAGAGACAGGGAGCTCCGTGCTCACCCCTTCACACCCCCCACCCCACACCAACCCCCGGCCTGGGGCCGAGCATGCGCTGCCCGCACACCCTCCTCAGCCCTTGAAATTGCTTCCACTCATGAACAGAAAGACACGGTTGTTTGAAAAGATCAGGACTTTTGAGGCTTGGGAAGAGATCTAGGAAAAGAACCCTCACTTCACTGTTGGGGAGCCCCGTGGGGAGGACCAGGCATCCAGGCTTGAGAACTGGAGAGCTGTGCCTCCCCCTCCCCCCACCTCCCAGCTCAGGTGCTACAGAGAAGGGGTACCAGACACAGGGAGGCCAGCAGGCTGCCGTGCCCCATGACCAGTATGGAAAGGACAACCTTGTCAGGTGTCTACAGACGCCCTTGAGACCAGGAAGGCTACCCCTCCCCCACAGGCTGCCTGTAAAAGAAGCTGTTCAACTCAGAAACCCCAACCTCAGAACTTCACGCCCCAACTGGAGGGGCCGCAGAGAGCCAGGGTCCGCCCACCCTCCCGGCCCGAGGGCTCAGGCCGGACCCTGCCTCCACTTGAGCCCCGCCAGGAACCGGGGTCCCACCCGCTGACTTTGGTCATTCACCCAGAGGGTCTGGTGGGAGGGGTCTCCAGGGTAGGGCAGCATGGGGGCGCACCCTGGGGTTGGTCTTTTCTACTCTCTGAAGGAGCCCCCTCCCCATTTGCACAGGGGCTTCACAGTGCTGTTCAGGAGAAAATTCATGGCAGGAATGGTTTCTTCTCTGGACCCAGCACCCAGGCTCCTGCAGGCCTCCCAGCAGAGGGACAGCCCCTCCCCAGTCTGACCCCTGCCACCCGGTTAGGAGGCCTGTGATGGTGCCCCCCCCCATCAAGGGTAAGTGACTGACATTAGGGCCCAATTTTGGTCCTTCACTCCCCTTACCTCTGCCCCCCACACCTGGCTCCCTCCAGCCACAAAGGTGAAATGAAGGTCCCCTGGCTAGGCCAGGATCAGCGTCCTGTCCCTTTCTTCCATCCTAGGCTGCTTCATCACCCACAGCCCTTCCAGGTGGAGGGGCACACCTCCCCTCCGGAGCCTGGGGGTCTGGGGGCAACCCTGGATGCACAGGGTCCCAGCGGGCAGGAAGGGCAGAAGCTGCCCGCTTGTCAGGACCTCAGGCCTCCCCATCCTGATGTCACATCCTGGGCCACTCGGAGGCCTCAGCCTCCTGCCACGCCGGCAGAAATGGTGCAGGCCTGTCTCCCGTTGGCCCAGAAGCACTGCCCACCTTGCTGGCCCCGCACGTCAGGCACTGGCTGGCAGCATGTTAAGAGGAGTGCGGCCGGTGGGCAGCCAGAGGCCTGAAGGTTTCCTTTCAGGGGGCTGGGCAGGGGCGGGAGGGGGCAGTTAGGGTCCGGTACCCCACCGAGGGCCGGAGCAGCTCAGATGGGGGAGGCGTGATGACCTCACAGGGGCATTTTGTGAGTGGCTTCCGGGAGCAAGCCGGGGCCCTGTCCTCCCCATTCCACACCCGGGAGCGGAAGTCAGGGCCACTCCCAGGGCACTTCCCCGCCTCCAGCGATGGTGCGGCCAGGGTCCGGCGGATAACGGTGTTCATTCAAAGAGCATTTCCTTGCCCTTCGGACACCTGGGGTGGCCGCTCCCCCCAACTAACACACACTGAATGAAGGGGCCACCCACTCGCCTCCCGCAGGAAGCTCACTGCACCACACCGGCTGGTAGAAAAGAGAACAAGTCAGGTACTTTATTTGGAATGGACACATTGATTACACACATATATATATATATATATATACACACATATATATACACATATATATATGTATATATATTAAGACAGATGGTTTTAACACAAATACCATCAAAATAAATACATAGATAGTCCAATAATTTAATGCACCCGCACAGCGGGGGCGAGGCTCTGCGGCTCCGCACGGGAGGGTCCTTCTCTGCCGGGCAGGACGCAGCCCCGGCCTTTGTCCTCGCCGTGGTCAGTGGCTGGGCGCCGCCGGGGCTTCTGCCGCTCCGGACATTCCCTGAGCTCCTGCCGGCGCGGCCCGCGTCCGGCCCGACTCGTCCAGTGTGTGGTTCCTGTGGGGAGAGCGGGGAGGTTCAGGGAGCTGTGCCGAGCCCGGTGGCTGAGCGAGCCGGAGTCCAGCCAGTGGGTCTCCCGAGGCCCGGACACGGAAGGCGCAAGCGACGGCTCCTGCCGCGCGCCCCAGCCGCGCCGCGTTGGCGAGGCCCCCAGTCCCCTCTCGACAGCGTTCCCTAGACGGGGCAGGACCTCCCCCCAACGTCCGAGGTCGACATCATCCTCCCCGAGGACCGCGTCCAGCGGGCGGGCGGGCGGCACTCACCGCGGCGGCGCTCAGGGCGCGCGGGCCGTCCCGGCCTCGGGCTGCCCGACGGGCGCGGCGCGCTCCTGGCGGCTGCGGAAGTCCTCCAGGGCGCGGCGGTTCTGGAAGTCGATGAGCGCCAGTGTGATGGCCGCGTTCCAGCAGCTCTCGCCCGCGCAGCGGAAGTCGATCTCCTTGCGGTCGGTGGTGACGATGGTGAAATAGACGTACTTGCCCGTACGCTCCACGCAGTCCACCTTGAGGATGGAGTGGAAGCGCAGCTCCTTGGGGCGCGCGCCGGGACCGGTGGGGAACAGGCTCAGGCAGTCAGGGGTGAGCACGCCGCGCTTCTTCTTCCATAGCTGGAACAAGCTGTCGCTGCGCTTCTCCAGCTCGCCCTCGCGCAACACCTCCCCGGGGGTCTTCATGTCGGCCGGGTGCAGCTCGCAGAAGCGAAGGCGCTCCGGTGGTGGCGGCCTCTGCAATGCGCCCGGGTGCCCGGGCGCCGTCTATATAGCGGCCCCGCCCCACGCGCTCCGTCCGGCCCGCCCCGGGCACGCCCCCTCTCGGCCACGCCCCGCGCCCCCTTCCTGGGCCCAGCCCGCCCCGGTCCCCCCAGCCTGGCCACCCCGGGGCTGCGCGCCGCACCCTCACCCCGGGTCGCCGTGGTCGCCCCCCCTTCTCCTTGTCTGCAGCCCGTTCCCCCGGCGCCCCAGATCCGTGGCCCCGTGGGGCGACTCAATGTCCCCCACCCCGCCCCGGACGCCGGCCCCACGGAGGAATGCGCTGCGGCTCGCCCTGCCCGCGGTGACTCACTGGCGGGGAGCCGCGGGAAGCGCCCGAGGCCGGGGACAGCCCGGGGCGCGGTGACGGCGGGACTCAGACCTCCACCCTCCAGGCGCCCCGACACCCAGCCCTGCCGCTCGTGGGCCAGATGCAGTCGCGGCCCCAGTTCCTCCCAGGCCCCCGGGGAGACCCTTCGGTGGCCCTGCCCCAGCCGGCCTTATCTCCCATCTTGCCACCCGCCGGCCGGCGCGCCTGGGACGACCTGCCCTCTTCCCCCTGGGTCGTCGGGCCGACCGGGAGAGCAGGTGTTCTGAACTTCAGTTTTCTCTTCTGTAAAATGGGGGACGATGACACTTGTTGGATTAGGCAACGCACGGAAAATGCTAGAACAGCTCCCCTTAGTGTTCAGTAAGTGTGAGGGCCGCTCCCAGCTCCCTTCCCGGGGGCCTGTCCCGCTCCCTGGGCCCTCCTGGCGGCTGTACGTGGGGGGAGGGAGGACGCACCGGCGGACCCGCCAGAGGTGCTGGGAGCCGAGGGGGCGCGGAACGCGCTGGTGCGTGGGGGGCAGAGGGGCCTTCGGCCTGGGCCGGGCCGGGGGCGGCTGAGTCATGCCCTGCCAGCAGGACAAGTCTTTTTATTTACCCTCTTCCTTTTTTTTTTTTTTTTTTTTTTTACCCTCTTCCTTTAAAGGGTTTAACAGGAAGTGATCGCTGGCTCCTCCAGGGTTCCCGGGGGGGCGGTGGCGGCAGAAGGGAATCTACGGGGGCCCCAGCCGCTCCGGGGCCAGCACCTTCCAACACCCCGCCGGGCTGTGACCTGGGCAGGTGGTGCAAAGCAAGGGGAGCAAGGAGGGCACGAGTCCGTTGGGGCTGTGAGAGCCACGCCCCCTCCTGGTGCAAGATGGAAACGCAGGTACCCTGGTTCAAAAAGTATTAATGATATTTTCAGGACTGGGAAGGCAGAGCATAAAGCCAATGTAGGACCTTCTGGGTGCGGGCCCGTCCGGCCGGCCGTGGAGCCAACCCTGCCCCACCTGCCCCCGCTCTGCGGCCTTGGGCAAGTCCCAACCCTGGCCCTTCAGGGTCACCGTGAGGAATAAGGTGCACCGCTGGCTCAGATGAGTGGCTTGGGCCAGGCCTCTGCAGATGGACACACCCACCTGTGCGTCCAGGGCAACTGTCAGCGGTGTGGCAGAGGGCAGGGGGTGCCCAGGACTCTGGCCTGCGGGAGGGAGCACAGGACAAGCATAGGGATGCTGGTCAGTGTTGGGGGGAGGAGCGGAGCTGGAATCGGCAGGCCCGTGGGGTGGCAGGCCAGAGGGTGAAGGGAGCACAGGGTGGGTGGGTGGGGAGACAGATCTCCCCTCAAGACAACACAGGGCAGACTTATAAGGGGGTGAGCTCCCCATCACTACAGGCATCCCAGCAGAGCTGGTAAAGGGGATTCCAGCATCAGGCAGGGTGAGACTGCTGACCCGCCTTCCCGCAAGCTCTCTGTCCTGAGGGGGCCCTGGGCTGTCGGGGCCACGGGAGAGGCAGCCCAGGGGCCAGGCTGCTGCCTCTAGGAAGCCACTGTGAGCCCCCTGGGTGTCCAGCACTCTGCCGGGACCCCTCCGAGGCCCACCAGCCCGTTTCCCCCAC